GGGTAAGAGCCAAGCATGACCTTAGAATTAGGAGCCAACATGGAAGATGGAGCTCGCCTACGAAGCCAAAGACTCAAACTTACGGAATTATCTCAAAGAAGGCGTCTGATGTCCTCAGCATGAAGACTAGTTCGGGGCTACTGTTAGTGTCCTAGATTAGGGGTGCTTGCCACGTCGGGCCATCAGTGATGGGACGAGCTGAGGACCCGTTGAAGATTGTTGACATGGCCGTGTCGACCTTGGGCCAAGGCGTGATCAAGATGAAGATTTCCTGAAGAGTTAGCATTCACTTTAAGCGTGCTTCAACCGACATGCTTATATCTAAAGATGGCAACCGCCTATTTGTAAACCCTAGGTACCCCCGACGTTTATATAAGCCCTGAGGTTTAACGCTTAAGGAGATACGCATTCACCTTTACAAGGTTTAAAGCTTAGACAAACTCACACGATCTCAAGGTAGATCAATCTGTACTCTGTACCCCATCACAATCAATAAAAAGTAAGACATAGGGTTTTACCTCATCAAGAGGGCCCAAATCTGGGTAAACGTCGTGTCCCTACTTTCCCTGTTTATCATCTAGCTCTGATCATCAAGCTTGGGAGCCCTACTCGAGATATGCCGGATTTAGCACTGACACCTGGTGGCGGAGCCGTCCCGTTCATGTGGAGCATGGAGCAATGGAGCATCAACTCCATCTGCTCCTCGTACTCTGCATTGGTGGCGGCGTACACCTGGCCCGCCACCACCGGTGTGGACTGCTGCTGCTGCAGTGGTTGGTCCTCCTCGTCGTCGGAGGAGACGAAGACCTTCGCATTCGTCGAGGGGGCGCCTGCCGATGGGAACGACAACCACAGAGCTCGAGGGCAGTGTCATCATGATCCGTCGGAGCCCGTCCCGGAACCGCCGCCTGCCGGCGTCGAGGCCCACGACTTGCCCATCGCCGGAGTTGTGGAGGGAGATGGGCGGGAGAGGAGAGAAGGAGGAGGAGGAAGAGTGGATAGATTGTGATGTGGACAGCCCTGGAGCGCAGATTACATAGCCTCAGCCAGGCCATGCGAAGGGCCGGCCAACCGCTTCAATGCAGCGCAACGGCCAGAGTTGGTTTCCAGGAAAGGTGCGTCCGCATTGAAGCGACGGCTCCCGAGAGCTCGCGTTGGTCAACGCCGCCCTCCCTCTGGTCACATCGCGGCATAAATGCTGACCGCTACGTACTCTGGGCCGACATAAATGTGACGCGGTAAGCGGCGTATGCGTCGGAAGAAAAGCGCGGGAGGGGCGGGTGGGGGGTTGGGGTGGGCCAGGCGATCAGAAGCGGGCGCTGGTGCTATCCGAACGCCCGCAAATCCCCTCACGTTTGTCTCTGATTTGCGGGAAAAAATAAACTGTGGCCACGTCGCGAATCGATAGAAGGAACATGTTGGAGGATGAGCGATTGGAGATGCCATAAGTCCTACTATATGTCATTGATAACATCCGTATTTTATTTAGGCGACAAACCGGGTCAACCCCCACCCGCCGCTGATGCCCGCCCGAAGCGCCATATAGCAGCCACCGGCCCTGTTTATTTCTTAGGGTTACTAGTACTATTTGGTTGGGAAATAAAGACCAGCGAGGAGTAGAAAACAAGGCCACCGATCCGAACCCCGGTTCTGCCCCCCCGCACGGAGGTGCCGCACTGCCGCGGTCGCTTTCTCCGTCCTACGGCACTTCCGCTGCACCGGCCCGCTGTCTTCCTCCAGGGTTCTGGGATCCGACAGTCCCGCGCCGAGGCGCTCCCTGCTCCGGTGCTCCTCCCTTTCCGCGCACTCTATCCCAGGTATTTCTTCAGATTTTTTTTGCGTCAATTGTTAACCATCACTAGTGGCTTCAATCGAACAAAGTTTGATTTACTATCTTTTCTATCACCTACAATCCAATAAATCAATGTTTTGTTTGTTACCGCAAAAAAGAAATTACCTTTTACTAGCTGTATGTGAAAGATATCTATTGCTGCAAATCAATCCATATTTTTCCCTTGTTCGATTATCGAGTACTGTGTTCAGACTCTAGGTCAATTATGGAGTAGTTATGGGCTAATGTTTTGGCCCGGGGCTTGGTTGTTGTAATCTTCAGTATGTTTATATCACTCTCTAATTTGATTCATCTAGCATGTTGAGAACTTGTTAGGAGCAACTCTAGCAGAGTCGCCAGAAGAGCATGGTCAATTACCGACTATATAAAGTTACCACGTCACATATAGTCAACCTGATAGCCAATATGTATAGTAGCTACTTGCTAAGTAGTATTAGTTTATTACTTACTACATGACCCACCTTACACTCTCACAATGTTTCTTGGAGTCCGTGCTACGGCCGACTGTTAATCTACAGCCTGCTTCCCTTCTCTCTCCTCTTCTCTCATCCAAATCAGCTGAAATATAATAGTTTAATCCTTGCAGCCTGCTGGCTGTACCTTATTACACTTGCTCTAATATCGATAATAATATGGAGGCTGCCAAGGCCACGTGGAAACTCAGAATCACCATATATCATAGCCTCCAAAAAAATTCCAGTGTGGGACCCGTTTGTCTTTGGCTATAAGATCTATTCCTTCCCCTCCTCAGCAATAGAAATCTTTTTGTACTAGATTTCAACATGGATTACAGCTAGGTTTTGAACAACCATTTAAACTACGATTCTCTACTAGAATTTGAACTATGACTCTTGCTCCATTTGGAAGTGACCTCGCAGGCAGGGGCTTCCGCTGCCGTGACTTCCACGGCTACGCGGTCGACGACTGTGCGTCCTGGATACGAGACAAGGCCACAGTTTTGAAGGCCGGCATGAGTGCGGCGCCATTTCTGCCTAGGTGGCCGTTGACATGTGATTGAAGTAGGCCATGGAGGCGGGCACGGCCGGCGGCTGATTCAGCCTTACGACTAGCGTCCTCATCAACCCGCTGGGAGTAGTCCCATGCCCTCTCCCAGAACTCTCTCGACGCGGCCCTCTTCACTCTCGCCTGGGAAAGGTTTGCGAGGAGGGAGCGACTGTGAAGGGCGAAGATAGGGGGGTGTGATCGCAGCCGGCGAGGGGACCGATGGGAGTGAGTGTGACGGCGACGGGGATGGAGGAATATAGGGGCGTGGGGTGGCGCCGGCGAAGGAAGGCGATGGGGTTTATATACCTGCGGATGTGTGTCCTCCGACGGGAAACTGGGGCGGATTACACGCGTGCGGGTGGCAAACGGGTGTGAAACGAGGTGGCGACCATTAATTGACGCTCTTCTAGGTGGAAAAGCGGCTCCGCCATTGGCATGGAGGAAGCAGCAGCCGTACGGACGGCAGAGGTTGGGGTGAAACTTTCCTCCCGCTCGAACGGTTGCCGATGGAGGCCGCTCCATATCATTGGCCCCAGCCTCCAAATATGGAGTCTCACGGGCTCAATTGGAGCGCGCTTCATAAATTATGCAGGCCGAGGGGCGTATGGAGACTCCGCTAGGGCAGCCTTTTTGGCTACGATTGCCATACGGACGGTTATTATGGCGATCGGCCCAATATGGCGACTCTGCTAGAGTTGCTCTAAGCTGCACCCCTTTGTAATTAGGATATATCGATCAATCGAGATTCACATGTTCAGTGTTTTGCTTATCTGGCCCAAGTTTGTTTTCACTTGTAAAAATGAGCAGGAAGCATTATCTAACAACTTCAAAACATTAATTAGAATTTGTAGAACAAACTTTTCTCATAGATTAGCATCGAAGATCTGCAATTTGATGATATGTTTTATGCTTTTTTAATGCAAAATATGTTTAAGTTGTAAGATGTTGCACTAGTCAACAAATTAGATTATCCTTTCGGGGCGAGATTGGTCAGTTGGCCGACAAACTTTCGGTATTGAGGTACTTGCTGTTATATCCTACATTTAAATTTCATTTATAGTTTGATAGAGTTTCATGTGTTTTATGGTTTCTTGATGATCTGGCTTAACTAGAGTTCGCATTGAGATTCTATTGCTACTAGTACACGTGCATTGCACGCGTGAGATTTGGTAACCAAAGTATGAATAAATACCACATTATAGCATGTAAGCTTTGAGTCATATATGCATGATGTAGATATTCATTTAATTCTTATAGTTCATCTCATTCAAAATCAATTAGTTTTATAAAAGAAGTTAATATATTTTAAGATACATGGATATTGTGCATTGTAAAGCATAAAGTAAAAACAAATAATGGCAATTCATTTAGAAAAAAAAGTTTGGACAATTATGATATGGAGATTCTAGAACAAAGGAGAAGTGCTTGTGTTTTGAGGTTTATGCATTATGCTGAAGTTCAACCATGGAGTCTTCTAGATTGTACATGTGGCAAAATCTGGTGGAGTGTAGATGATATCCAACGGCTAGTAGTGCTCGGATTTGCCATCTCTGCACCATCGGATTGGCTTCATCCAACGACCAACTTTTAAAGTTATTCGCACACTATATAGGGGCATAGAAAATGGATATTGTGTGGCCAAGTTTGCCTGATAAAGAAATTAGAATTTGAATACATATAATTTTGAGACTTCTAATTCTTTTGTTGTCATGTATTTGTAACATCTAATTGTAATACTGATTTCCTCAAATCTAATTGTATAATATGGAAGCATGAGCCTATGAGGGGAAAACTTCTGATCTTACATCACACTACTCGTTTACACTTAGAATAAGATGGTTTAGTGAAATACAGTGAAGGTCATGCTATGATGTTGCCTGGAAACAAAGAGGATTCTGTTCTCTTATCTAAGTCAGACAGTATGCATCTGTAATGGTATTTCCATGGCAATGGATGGTCACTTACCCCGTTTCCTTTTTTTCTTTTTACTTTGTTCCAGTCATTATATGTTGTGGTCTTTGAAGTTCAACTTGGTACACTTCGCTCTTGACCTTTCAAAATATGTATTGCTGCTTAATTCCTTCTTTTGACCCCACTGTCTTATAAAGTTATGTCATGTATGCCTTGCCTTAGAGCACGAGCAATGCGGAAAAAAAACAGAAACCTGCGCTCTAGTGGTGGTGACGAAGGCGGGATAACTTCTGGTCTATCAAGTAGACACCCATTCTCGATTCCTAAGCGCAATGGATTTGTTTCTGTTGGCGAAAGCTGTATTCTGAAGACAAATCATTTTAAACCATCGACTTATTGTGACAATATTTACCGATATGAGGTAAGATCTTGTCCATGGAAACTTGTGATATCATATGAAGTTCTTTTGATCACAACGATCTTTCATTTGTGACATTTTATAGGTATTTATGAACTATGAGTTTCTGTCATCTGGCCCCTCTCATGCTACCGCCATCTCATGTGGTGTCAAACGTGCTGTTATGAGAAAGCTTTGCAAGATGTATAGGGAATCACATTTGCGTGGCCGGCGTCCTGCATATGATGGAAGGAACAGGTTATATGCATCTGGACCGTTTTCATTTGAATCTGAGACCTTTGTTATAACATTACAAAATGAGGAAGATAGTCTTGATTATGGGCAAACCCCACAGAGGTATGATATTCTGGACATATATTTGTAACATTTAATTGTAATACTGATTCCTCGATCTAATCTGCAACCTGATACAATCAATGTTGCTGCTAATCTCAAGGCCCACGACAGTGTTTTCTGTCACGATAACTTACAATGCATTTTTGACCGGAGCAATTGACAGTGAAGAATTCATTCAAGCATGCAACACTGTTCTGTGTGAATCTCCAATTGAAGGGTTATTCTGTTCTCACCATCTTTTTCAGTACCATTATATCTGTCGAACTGCTGAGATAATCTTTTTTTTTGTGTGTAGGCATTTCCGAGTCGGTCGATCATTTTATCGATCTAGTGCGATGTTCCACGAACTTGGTGGAGGCTTGAAAGGCTGCTGTGGTTTTTATCGAAGCATACAACGCAGTCAGATGGGACTTTCACTAAATATCGGTTAATCCCAAGCTCGAGCTTCTTGTTTCATATTCCAGTTCCGAGTTCCCCTTCTTCACAATAGTAATTGTGGTTATGTTGCAATGCTTGCATGTCAGAATTGAGTCAAAGTAGATCAACTGTTCGATGATTTAAATGTTCATACCTTGCTTTGGTTAAGCTGATATGATTGTATTGGCTTCTTAGAAGTTAGTTAAAAAAAGGGCAGCCCGGTGCACGTAGCTCCTGCTTGCACAGGGTCCGGGGAAGGGTCCGACCACTTTGGGCCTTTTGTGTGCAGCCTTTCCCTACATTTCTGCAAGAGGTTGTTTCCAGGACTCGAACCCATGACCTCATGGTCAAAAAGAGGCTTCGTAGAAGCTAGAAGTAATAAATTCTGAACATAAGAAAGAGAAAAAAAAAAGCTCCGAACCATTTTGTTTTGACTATTAAGAATATATTATGTGGGATCATCACGTTAGTTAGTTCTGGGGATCCATGCAGCTGCAAGAGAAGAAACCATAGTTATGGAGGGCATCATTTAGATTTGATTTAGGACTCTAGTTCTTGGGATCGTGCAGATGCGAGATAAGTGGTTTACTGTCATGGTACATAGAGGGCACTAATCAGACTTGAATTTGGACTCATTTTTTCCCGAGAAAAATGCAAATCTTGCGCCTTGATGCTTTATAATGGAAGAATATGTACATGCTTTAAGTGAGCCTGAGGTAACAGCACATGTAGGCAACAGCTTTTGAGCCTTGATACACAATATTGAATATATCGATTGCGTGGATGAACAATATTGGTGAGAGGCGATCCCCCTGACCTTGCTGACTTGGTGATTGAGGAGCTTTGTATGTCACGGTGCGAAACAGCAAGGCAATCCAGGCTGTGAACTGTATGCTAAAGCCAAGCTTTCGGAGGACCTCAAAACGATACAATCGAAGGAGCACTGATATCCAATTTGAGGACAACTGAGGAGCTTTGAACCTTGCCAGGAACTGCGCCATGAGCTGTGCCAACATGAAATTGTCATGGATGCTCCTATCGTGCAATGAAGGCTCCTTGGTTTTGCATCTTCATTACGTCGAGCTTGGGTGCAGGTGGCGGGCTAAAACCTTGGCTATGAGATGTATAGATGGTCTGTACTCCTGAAATTTTGCTACATCTTGACGCTTAGGGAGGATGGTGAAGAGAGCTTCTATTCACGAAATATATGGGAATGCATGGAGCTGCAAGATGATGATTTTGATAATCTTAAATAATAATAATAATAACAATAACAATAACAATAATAATAATAATAATAATAATAATAATAATAATATTAGTAGTAATATATATGTTTTGACATTTCTTTCACACTAGTTATGCATATTAAATTGGAAATAATATGCAAACATTCTATTCCGCCATAAGGTGGCCATGAAATTGACTCTTCATACCTTCCTGCAGATACTTCCTATAAAGCATTCATCAAGCCTCAACTCGTGATTGATTTTGTTGCCGAGCTTCTTTGCAGACGCATCTCCGATGGCCCCATAAATTATATTGAACGCCTGAAGGTGTTGTCCTTATATTATGGTGTTTTATACTTCAACTTTGTCCTCACTTTCTTAATAACGGCTGAACACTTCCGTATTAGTAAGTTTGACCCTTTGCTAATTGACAGATCGCGAAAGCTTTGCATGGTATAAAGGTTTATGTCACACATAGGGGCGATGTGCGTAAGAAGTACCGTATATCTGGCCTTTCATCAGAAGGGGCAAGCAAGCTATCGTATGTATTTTGAGCATACTCATATATAAAGCTTGTCTTATGTCTTTGACAGTGCTGACTGAAGATAGAGAACTCTGGTATGCTAACGTTATTTGGCTGGTTTGTCTTTTGATAGTTTTCCAGTTGGTGATCATGGAACTCAGAAGACAGTAATGCAATACTTCCAGGAGAAACATGGCTATGATATTCAGCATTTTGTTTTGCCTTGCTTGCAAGTTGGTAATCAGCAGAGGCCAAATTACCTGCCAATGGAGGTTAGTATCCTAAATTTCTGTTTTCAAGATTTTAAGTACCATGTTTAACATATTCAACAATATCACAATTGTTATGTACTCCCTCCGTTCGGAATTACTTGTCTCGGAAGTGGATGTATCTAGATCTAAAATACGTCTAGATACATCCATTTCTGCGACAAGTAATTCCGAACGGAGGGAGTATAACTTCATGTCATAACAATCTGATTTGCATTACTTTGAAACTTTAGGTCTGTAAGATAGCCGAGGGACAACACTACAGAGAACAGTTAAATGAGGAACAGTTATCTGCTCTTCGTGAAGTTACTTGCCAGCGCCCCATAGAGAAGGAACTGGCCATTTTACAGGTAATCGTACGAATGGTTGCAGTGTAAATTATTTAGAATGGTTCCTGCTGTATGTTTATTTCTTCCTTCAAATTTCTTATTTAATTAGTGACTTTGTTGTTCATTTTATTCAATATACACGTGCACTTTTTCCACCAGCAACTACTTACCATACAATGTAATGGGGGAAGGGTTAATCTTATCGTTGGAATAAGAGTTGGGGAAGTGGAGTATATATAGGTGCAACAAGAATTTAAATTTCCGTTGCTAGAAGTTGCTTGTACTATGGAATATGGACAGCCCATTATTTCTTGGTGGACCACTATATGTTTGTAGATATTTATGCATAAACCTGTATTGATTGTAAATCTTTTTATTTGTGGATTTTCTACCTTGATCGAAGAAGTCCAGTTAATCTTGAAGTACTATGCAATAGCAACTTAACTGCCTGAAATGGGAAAACCTAGTATGCATGAAGTTTATCCTTGGCATATCAATCATTTACTAGAAGGGGACACGTGCCTTTGTTGCACTGTTTTTTAATAAGGGTTTTGAGTTAAAGGCCGACACTACAACGGACAAGAACACAACTTGATGACGCGAATGACCGACGATCAACTGCCAACAGCACCCCTGAACCCTCAAACAACCTGAAATCCTGAATGCATAAAAATCCAGCCCCAAAATGTCACCACCCTAACCCAGCACACCAACAAACCTAGCAATGCAAACCATGGCAGTAATTAGGGCAATAGAGGAATAAAAGAGCAAACTGAAGGCACGTAGCGGAGGCAGGAGCCGACACCACGGCAGACAGGAACATTAGTCGACAACGTGAATCAACGACGAACAACCACCAAGAGGCAGTGCGCGTAAGCTGTAGTCCCCTTCACGACTGCCTAACCCTTGGAACTGCTTAGCTGTAAGAACAACTGTAGAGGTGACCAAGTGGCAAGCCCTAACTAGGGAAATTTCAGGACTAAACTCGGTGAATTCAGGGCAAAATCATATGGAGAAAGCTTTCTCGTAGATGAAGCAGTATATATTTATTTACCCTGTCAGGGTTTAGTAGATGGAGGATAGATGATGAGTGATCCTGTTAAGTAGGTGTCGAGCGGGCAGGTAGTTTGGTGAGTTCTGTCTAGGCACGTGTCAGCTCACCGCCGAAGATACAACTTTACTGACATCGTCTTGGAGGCGTTTCAAGTTAATAAGAGGTAGCTGGGCGAACAACACAGAAGGAGAGGCAACCCTTGCCGACAAGCATCACCAGCTCGACACCTCACGGCAGAGTTAGGTATGATAGCACTTGGGCCACTGTTTACGGTGTGTATTTACTATTTTGCTATTGTCGTGACCCCTTCATCCATAAAAGGAGGCCCATGGCTACCTTTCAAAAGGTCAACGACTTGCTCATTTCACTCCCGTAGCTGCACTTCACGCGCACCTTGCCGGCAAGTTGCGCTCCTTGTACTTGAGCTCAACACATCCAATCCAATACAACCAAAGCAGGAGCAGGGTTTAGCACCTCATGGTGGCCCGAACCTGGGTAAATCTCTACAACTGGATTGGCCAACCATGTTGGATGTAGAACTCCTTTGACCAATTCTGCTGCTTCTAGCTTTTTAATTTTTTCGGCAATAAACTCTTGCCGCTCCAAGGCTTGCTTCCTGACCTTTTGCTTGACGGGTCGTGCATGAGGGCAGATGGCAAGGTGGTCCTCAATTACTTCCCTGGGAACATTAGGGATGTTAGATGGTTGCCATGCAAACACATCGACATTCACTCGTAGGAAAGCAATGAGCGCGCTTTTCTATTTGCTGTCAATGGTGGCACTTATGGTGAAGGTGCCTCCCGCGCCATCCTCCATTGCGGACACCTCTGGTGGAGCTGCCTTTGCCGGTAGAGCTCTCCGGCACGTCCTCAATGGGTGTGCAACACTCCGAAGAGGTGCGCTTCCTAGAGTCCTCGTCAGAGGTCTTGCCGGTCTTCTTCTCCACCCCGGGAACTTTGCCGGCAGGAGCAAGTACCTTGGCGGCAGATGCTGCAACTGCTTCCCGGTAAAGTTTGTCGGCGCAGATGACTGCGTCTTTCTTGTCGGAATGGATGGTGATGACACTCATCGACCCTGGCATTTTGAGTGTGTGTTGTAGGCGTAATGGGACGCCGCCATGAGTTTGCCAGCGCCGGGCAACCAAGAATTCCATTGTATGGCAATGGAATTTTGACGACGTCGAAGACAATTTTCTCCGTCATATAGTTCAGTTCACTGTCAAACGTTACCGACAATGTTATCTTCCCCTTGGGTTGACTCCTTCCCGGATTGATCCCTTGAAACATGCGTGTCTGCTCGAGATCTTCATTAGGTATTTGCAGCCTCTTGATCATGTCAGGCGAGATCAAGTTCAAGCCGGCCCCGTCAACTAACATCTTTGTCACCTTAAGGTTGTGAATTGTTGGTGAAACCAACAACGACATACACCCGACCGTAGTTATGGGATCAGGGTGGTCCTCGGCGTAAAAAATGATAGGCGCGTATGCTTCTGTGTCTCAATTGCCGGCTCCGCAACATTGATCTCACGCGCTCACTGCTTGAGTTGGCGGTGAGAGGAGTGCAAAGATGCTCCTCCATCAATGCACATGGCTTCTGTAGCCTTCTGGAACTCTTGTTCGTTGGACTCCTCTTCGTCCTTGTCATCATCCTCATCATCCTCCTTGCCATGGCCTCGAGCAGGCTTCTCCTTCTGCTGCTTGGCCTTGCCACGACGACCTCTGCGGCCGCTACGACCTTTCTTGCCGGATCCACCAGGCCCTTCTCCTTGTCGCGCTTCTCATATTCAGCTTTCTGCTTCTCGGCAAGTTGCTCAACTTGTCGACACTCGTGGAGATCATGGCTCTTGGTACGGTGGATCTTGCAGTATGGCTTGCCGGGGCTCTCCGTCTTGTCGCCGGCGGTTACCTCATGACCACAAGTGCATCCGGCAACTTCCTTGCCGGAGCCTTCAACTGCCATGATTGCCTTGCCTTTGCGCTTCCTGTTGTGCTTCCAACCTTTCTTTCTTCGGAGTCGATGCGTCGTCGTCTTCGGAATCGACCTCTGCACAACATCTTTCCCGGGAAGTTGCCTCCCCTCTTTCCCGGGAAGAGTCAACTGGTCAGGATGGGAGCGGTCAGAACCAGTAGCAGATCAATCAGACGAAAAGCCAGCCGAACGATGACCAAATCGATTGGACAGAGTCACGATCTGGAGCAGTAGACACCCGGACATGAAACGGCAGCAGCCACTCACGTGACCACGCGAGCGCCAGTAGATAGCCGCGGAAGACGGCAGCGGCGCGGACGAGGCCGGTGGCAGTGGCGGAGACGGGGCCGGCGGCCGGTGGCAGCGGCGCAGACAGGGCCGGCGCCGGTGGCGCCACAGAAGGCAGCAGCGGTGCGGACAAGGCCGGCGGTCGGCAGTAGCGGCGCGGACGAGGCCCATGGCCGGCAGCGACCTTGGAGGAGGACGAGCGGCCAGCGGCTGGATCGATTGGGACCAAGTCCGATAGGATCCAATACTAGCCAGCGGATTCCACGTGAGGGCCAAATCGATTCACAGTGGATTGCACGGGAGGGCAACAACTAGCCAGCGGCTGGATCAACTAACTAGCTTGGATGCGAAGTTCCTATAGCTGGAGATGGACGCATGCAAAAGCAAAATCACGGCCAGCAGAATAGAGAACAATGGCAGCCGTGCAGGAGATTGGATCGGGAGCAGCATGAGTTGCGCGTGCGGAAAAAAATACCTAGAGCTCTAAATACCATGTTTAGAATAGCAACTTGTATTATTAGGAGGCCAAAGCCAACATATATACACATACATGAGGATGCCAAAAGGCTAGAATACAAGAGGCCAAAAGACATCACTAATATAACAGACACGCCTCCAGGATGGGTGTCATTAAAGTTGTATCTTCGGCGGTGAGCTGACACGTGCCCAGACATAACTCACCAAACTACCTGGCCGCTTGACACCTACTTGATAGGCGACTGGCGTGTCGCTGAGGTGGAGCGATGGAGCTGTAGTGGGAGCTTGCCGGGCCTTCGCTTGCCGGCAACCAAAGTCTTGATCTTCAGTACTTAGTACTTCTCAATGACCTGCCTTGAGGTTTTCTTCATGGTTTTATTAACCAACTCTCAAGTCTTGTTTGTAGCTGCCCTCCGGCAAGCCCTGCCGTCGGGAAGGCTACAACTGCCTGTGCACAAGTCAGGGTACTAAGGTACCTATGTCTTGGTACACCGACAGATCCCAAGCGCAGCTGGGTATTTATATTACAAGCAGTTAAACTAAAGACTGCTGAATGAGCTACAGTAAACAGATGTGCAGGTAGTAAACAGTGTCTCCGCCTTGGGCACCCTAGGCTGTAGATGCTGGGTGACGTGGAGCTTGCTGGTGTGCCGGATAACTGAATCCAGTTGACAGTGTTAATCTTCAGAGACGAAATCCTGACACCAAGCTGGCTAGACCATGGTCGAGACGACACCAAACGATTTCCTGACCCAGCCCGATCAATCCTAGCGCAACAAATCCAGCGGCAAAACAGTGACAGTCTACCCCAAAACATAAAACCAGGACTGCTATATAGTTTCCCAAATAAATCGGAGTACAAAAAGGAATATGGCTCAGCTCAATGTAGTATTGGTAATTTTTGGTATTTTGGACTTTTTGTATAAAACTGCAGAATATTTACTATTTGAACCCTACAATCTTGGTATTCAAGGATAAGAAATGTTGAGGAACATGCCATGGATTCCTGGCTCCCTACCATAGGATCAAAGTCCACATAAGTTGCAAAATTAAATAGTTGCTTACACATATAAAAAAGGGCAGCCCGGTGCATGTAGCTCCCGCTTGCGCAGGGTCCAGGTATTGAGCCAAAAAAGATGAAACATATGCACTAAGAGAAAGCAAATCATCATTTAGATTGGAGGACAACACAATAGAGCTATGTTATAAAGCCCATATATGGTATTGCTGCAAA